ATAAACAAATGGAAGTACATTAAACTAAAAAGTTTTTGCACAGCGAAGGAAACTATCAACAAGCGAAAAGGCCGCCTACTGAATGGGAGAAGATACTTGCAAATGATTTATCTGATAAGGGGTTAATATCCAAAACATACAAAGAACTCATACAACTCAACATAAAAAACAAACAACCCGATTAAAAAATGGGCAGAGGACCTGAATAGACATTTTTCCACAGAAGACATACAGATGGCCAACAGGCACATGAAAAGATGCTCAACATCATTAATCATCAGGGAAATGCAAATCTAAACCACAATGAGATATCACCTCACACCTGTCAGAACGGCTATTGTCTTTTAGTGCTGTTGAGTGTGTGGAGAGAAGGGAAGCCTTGTGCACTGTTGGTGGGAATAACTGGTGCAGCCACTATGGAAAATAGTAAGGAAATTCCTCAAAAAAACTAAAAATGGAACTACATATGAACCAGCAATTCCACTTCTGGGTACATATCCAAAGAAAACAAAAACACTAATTCAAAAAGATACATGCACATCAATGTTCACTGCAGCATTATTTACACAAACTGTCAAGATACAGAGACACCCTAAGTGTTCATCAATAGATAAAATGGATAAATGTTCATCAATTCTAAAATGTGGTATATATATACATATACACCCACACACACAAGATGGAATATTACACTCAGCCATAAAAAAAGAATGAAATTTTGCCATCTGCAACAACATGGATGAACCTGGGGTTCACTTATGCCTAGTGAAATAAGTCAGACAAAGACAAATACTGAATGTTATCACTTATACATGGAATCTAAAATATAAAACAGACAAATGAATATATCAAAACAGAAACAGACTCAAAGCTATACAGAACAACCTAATGGTTACCAGTGGGGACAGGGAAAGGGGGAGGGGAAAGTCAGGGGTAGGGAATAAAGAGGTTCAAACTACTATTTGTGAAATAAATAAGCTACAAGGATATATTGTACAGCACAGGGAATATAGCCAATATTTTACAATAACCTTAAATGGAGTATAATCTATAAAAATATTGAATCACTATGTTGTACACTTGAAAATGATATAATACTGTAAACCAAATACACTTCAGTAAAGAACAAACACAAAGTCCAAAAAGCTATTGGAAATACTAACTTTGTAGCATAAACTCCATTACTCTACCTATGTCTTAAACATTTTTGGGGGATTTGGGGATACTAAGAGAGTGAGGAAATGGAAAGAAGAGTAAATAAAACTAAATAGAAGGAGGATAACTAGACTGGTGGAAGTGACACTGTGGGAAAACTGCACATCTAAAATCCATTATGGAAGGCTCTTTAGAGTTTGCCTCTTTACCTAAAGAGGGAAGAACTACAAAAAGAGTATACAGCCAGGACATGTCAGAAAAAAATGTTTGTTAGGCAAAGAACACATGGAAGCAATTATGGGTTCTTAATATGTAAGTCTAGTTTTTAAAACTGTCAGAACACTGAAAAGTAGGCAAAAAACCTCACTACTGAGTTGTGTAAGTTTGAGGAGAATCTTAGCCTTTCTTTTCTCCAACATGAATACACATGATACCTTACATTTATATATAGTACCTGTCATCAGAGCATTTCCATGAACATTACTTCATTTGATAAGAGTAACCCATGCCTGTGCCCCTTCTAGGAAGATACTGAGTATCAACTGTGAGGCAACAGGAGATGGAGCAATGGAGACACTAAATGTACACAGACACAGTCTCACTGAAAGCGAGGTTAACACCAATGCTGAGTGCTACTACCATGAACTGGTATGGCACTTTATATTTTTCAAAGCCTTTTCATGATGTCATTTGAGTAAGACAATGGCCTTAAAAAGGCAACTATAACTCTGGGGGATACAGTTCGTTAAAGGTGAAGATTTCTAATTAATATTTCTAATTAATAATTCTAATTAAAATTTCTGGTTAATATTCTTAATATTTATAACTATTTTATTTTAAATTAATCACATGTGATTTGCTAGACCTATATATGAGGGATAACTAATTACATGTAGGAAAAGTCATAATGCAAGAAATATATTAAGTATGTGAGAGAACAGAACTCTGTTATACAGAAACATTATGCTGTGATTAGTTTTCAAAATAACCAAATCAATAGCTTTCTATAAATTGCTGGCCTAGAGGATATTCTGTTGTGGGTATTTCTGAGTCTGGGCAGATGAAATGAACTGATAAGATAATTAAAACTCTGTTTATATATGAATCACAGTCATTTGTAGGCATAGAATTTTCCTCTGTTCCTTGTTCCTTAATGGAAAGTGGGTCAGCCAGAGACACTACATAATATGAGGAAAAAACTAGACATGTAAAGACAGTGAACATTAAAGTAACAATTAGAATTGTGCAGAAAGAACAAGAAATGCTGGCTCTTCCAAGCAAGACGACTGAGCAATTATACTTGTATACTGAAACAAGTGAAATCCAGAGGCAATTATTTCTTTGACAGATAAAGAATGAGTTTTTTATATTAAAGAAAGTTGAGCAAGAAACATGCCAGTCTAATTCTGAATAAATATGAGAATGTTCTGTATGTAGTATATAAGACAGATGTAACTAAAAAATAGAAGAGCATGGCCACACTGTAAGAAAAATGTCTCAAGCTTAATAAATCTTCTCTCTGGTTGGTTGATATGTCATTATTTTTCATATCTTGATTTTTAAAAAAATTGAAGTATAGTTGATTTACAATGTTGTTTTAGTTTCTGGTGTACAGCAAGGTGATTTGGTCATACATATACATATATATTCTTTTTCATATTCTTTTCCATTATGGTTTATTACAGGATACTGAATATAGTTCCCTGTGCTATACAGTAGGACCTTGTTATTTTTCTATTTTTATATATAGTAGTTTGTATTGAGGGTTTTTTTTTACACATTTCAAATACTCAGATAAGCCACAATTCTGGAATAAATTCTAAAGCGTAAATGAGTATGTCAGTTTAAATAAAAATGCAATTCAAGGCTGTATGCAGGATATACATTTATTAACAGTGAAAAAGCATTTACCCAAAGTGAATGTTACAAAATACAAAGAGTACCTGCTGCACAGTCTGGCGAGCTCACTCTTTTAGGCATTATTTCAACCTGCAAGGTTTCTCTCTCACTCATTTTGACCTTTTCTTCCTCTTTTATCTCTAACCAAATTTTTAACTTAAAAATGAAGACAAAAATTCAATGCCTAACCCTTTAGCAACAGTTACCAGGGAAAAACATATTAAACAAGTTATCTGCTCTCAAGTCCTAGGTATTTTAAAACTAAATTATCTACTATAATAGAAAACAACAGACCATATTACAATAGCTATAACATAAGTCAAATAAGCAAGTTTGATAAGGTGCACAGATACTACAGTATTAACTAAGGTATAAGTACAACGCTTCCACTGTATCAATCTTTAAAATGCATGCAGAGAGAGAAACAGTCTTAATTATGTAAGGCTTGGCTTGAGTATCAAAATGAAGTTTCTGTACAGAGTCTAGAAAACAAATACAGAACTTAAGTATACATATAATGTAACTTATGTTTCAATTTCCCTGAAGTCAAGCCAATTGGATAAGAATTCCTATTTCTGGGATGATAGTTTTCTGAATAAGTTTTACTAATTCAGAAAGTTGGAGATATATGTCTCACATAATTTAAGTTATGGAGCAATACAGTCAATGCCCTCATAGGGAAATCCTCATTTAATACTCCCTGACTGGACATTATACTTTTACACTGAGGTATCAGGCAAGAATTTCAAAGGAATACCAACCGAATTCTTTTCTTATGGGATATTTCAGTTAATTGTTGACAAATTTAAAAGACTATTTGGAACAATTCTTCATATTTTATTCAAGAATCTGTAAAGATGACTTAATTGTTAACTGGCTATGTGAAGCCTTACTGGGTATGTGGCAAGTTTGGGATCTAAAGCTACACCACCTTTAAAAGCTGATTTACCTCGTGACAAAGAGGTCATGTAGATTTTCATTACTCAAAACTTCCTCTGCGAACCTGCTTCTCTCTCACTGCATACAGAAGCAACTGCTATGCTTTGGCTAAACTATCATCTCAAAAGGCAAGGTTGTCCGAAGGCATATAGAACTTTAACGTGCTGGTACATAAATTTAGTTCTATTATTCTCTACTTTAAAGATCTTGGTTTTCCTTTTAAAATTAATCACAATGTTACTTTACTTGGCTGTGCAGAAATACTCTCTAATTATAGAAAACTTTTTTTGTTTTTTTACTTTTAGACTGAGGCAACACAGATATGAATTGAAATTCTAGAAAATATTTATCTAATAGATAATTATGTAAGTTCTAGGTACTAAGGACAAGTGTTCTAAACTTATTATCCAATTTGAATAGAATATTAATATATATTCTACAATAACCTGGAAACCTTTATAACCTGCCCTATTCTTGCACAGGAATAAGACATGCAAGTATCTAAAAGAACATTAGACCCAATAGCAGCAACACTGGCATTATTTGGAAGCCTGGCCTAAAGGCTGAGCTTTACAATAAATAGTATATTTCTCTAACTCTTGACCATTGCTCTTTGAATAGCCTAATTATACAGAGCAGTGACTTGCTGTATAGAATTCAACATAATTTCCAAAAAAGATAGTTTACAGGTTAAGTCCAAACTTTATTTAAAACTACATTTTAAATTTAACGTTACCAAACATCACAATGGGGAAAAAAATATCAAGACCAAAAAAAATGACAGAAAGAAAAAGAAAAAACCCCACAGTGTATCAAGGCTTGAATCTGTCCAGAATTCAGTTTTTGATGTTTCAAACTGCCATGGGCAGAAATTAGCACACCTACCAAAAATGCAGTGTCAAACTAATTTACATTTTTTACAGATCAAAACAGATGTTTATTTAGTACCATTTCCATATATGCAGTGACTATGTAAAGAGAGAGTTAGATGAGCCTCTGAAGACATCTCATGTACTTTGGGCTCCCACTGTTTCTGAAAAACAGAATCATAGTTAATGCCTTATAAATTACTTACTAAGTTAAGACCTTATAGAATTTAGTTTAATACTGCTGTTCTCTTCCATTAAAACTTTCACTTCTAATATAAAGTTATTACAAAAGAAACTTAGTTTGCTACAATAATTCCCTGATAACACACAGCAAGAATTTAAAAGGCAAAGGTAAGGGTTTCCATTTTAAGATGGCAAACTAAGCAGATACTTCCTCTCTCTCAAAAAGAAAACCCCACTAGAAAAAAAAAAAGAAAAGAAGTATAAAAATGAATAAACCCAGATCAACAGAAGAAGAGTGGTTGTGAGAGAACAGAGGATGGGGAACCACAACAAGTTCCCAGGATGCTCAAAGGAGATGGAGGCACAGAGAAGAGGGGAGGAAGCTGCAGCCTAGACACACTAGGACAGGCGGCAGTGCAGAGGGTACCAACTGAGTCCTAACAGGCAGAAATGGGCTGAAGACTGAGGAATTAACTGAAGGTTTGACATTTGGTTTGCACTTCTCTTCACCCTATTTCTTAAAAAAAAAATCTTGTATGAGTTTAATCAACTGACGAATTGATGAACAAAAAGAAAATCTTTGACTTTGATGCAAGAAATGTGCTCCTCTGAGTAGCCCTTGGGTTGTGCTATTAGACCCATAAAGAAGGAAATCTGGGACTATCACTTTGTTCTGCAACAAACCTTATTTATATAGAATCATCTTCAGGAAATTACAGAAGATTCAATTATTACAGTTACAAAAACAGAATGTAAGTGTTTACTTTAATAATGTTAATAACGTAAGAATATGAGTAAAACTGAACAGAGAAGGCAGAAGGAAAAGGGGAGGAGCAAGTAGTTGGGTAATGACCAAAGTTGATGGAACTAGAAAATGTATATATTTATAAGAACAACGGTAACAGGAAAACCAAAAATAATATAAACACTGAAAGAAGAAGAGGTGGGTCTAAATACTTTCCATTTGGGAGACAGGAAAATTATCTAATTTTTAAAATTAAGAAAAATTATAAGAATAGTATTTAGAGATCTAGAGGGTCTCCTCCAAAAGAACTGAAAACCAATAATTAAAAGAAATGGGCTCTTGCCAATCATCACTAACTGCTTTATACCTTTCTTTCTTAAGCCATGTGCATATATTACTTTGTTAAAACTAAAAGCTTCCCTGGTGGCGCAGTGGCTGGGAGTCCGCCTGCCGATGCAGGGGATACGGGTTCGTGCCCCGATCCGGGAGGATCCCACATGCCGTGGAGCGGCTGGGCCCGTGAGCCATGGCCGCTGAGCCTGTGCGTCCGGTGCCTGTGCTCCGCGGCAGGAGAGGCCACAACATTGAGAGGCCCGCGTACCAAAAAAAAAAACCCTGGGGTCTTTGCTGATGGGGGTTTGGCATTAGTTTATTAGTAGTAAAAGGAAACCTTAATATAAAGTCTCCCCTAGTGTTGGGTTGCATCCCACAGGCCTACAAGGCCTATGCTTGCCCAACTTCAAGACCAAAGAAAGAGCCTGGAGTCAGCAACAGAGACATCACTGGTTTAATGGACGAGGGAGCTGACCTGTCTGAAGCAAGGTCCTGGAGCGACATGCCAGCGTGTGCGGCAGATGGCAGGCAGAACATGGCGGCAGTCTTCACGGAGGGGGGGGGGGGGGGGGGGGGGCGGGGGATCCCACATGCCGTGGAGCGGCTGGGCCCGTGAGCCATGGCCGCTGAGCCTGTGCGTCCGGTGCCTGTGCTCCGCGGCAGGAGAGGCCACAACATTGAGAGGCCCGCGTACCAAAAAAAAAAACAAAACAAAAAAACCCCTAAAAACAGAAAAAAATTATCTGATAATACTATTTTATAAATTGGGCAGCTGAACAAATTTTTATAGAACTACGCTTCCTTTCTAATGTTTATCCTAGATATTCCAGGTACTAGTAGCACATTTAAAAAACAAAACAAAATGACGGTATCAAGATGCAGTAGCTTTTCAATATGATATGGTTAAAAATGGTAACTCTTACCAGGTTCTTTTAGTGTCTGAGAATTCCCAGCTAATTCTTCAGTTTGCATTTCACGTAATATTTCACCAGATAAATGGTTTTTCTGTTCTTCTTCTACCATTTTCTTCCTTAGATCTGCCTTTAGAATGAAAATTAAAAATACAAAATCATTTTTCACCCTAACAGTATTTGTTATATAAAGACAACTTTAATTAAAGAGAGCAAAATACCTCTGAATATATTGTCAGTTTAAGTGGTAAATCTTCAACTTTCACAAAGTCTTCTTCATCAGATTTTTGACTTATGTTACCAGATTCTGCTTCCTATAAGATTAACAAATTATATTTAATGACGGCAATCCACTCTATCTCTGGATCTAAACCAAAGTAATCCATATCTTTAAAGATAAAGTGGATTCTTACATGTGTATATATGTCAGTAATTCTATCATATTTACTTTTCTTCTATATTCAGCTCAGTGAATAGAACAGAAATCTAGAGTTCACGGGAAGGGCTACACACTTGCAACTATGGGCACACAGTCAAGCTTTTCTGTCCCCATTTTATAAAACAAAGAGCCAGTTCACACAGGTTAGAGGAAAAAATAGTAATAGTAATACTGAGGGCTAAAATAATTAGAACTACTTTTATTACTTGATATGTTTATAGAATGCATCAGAACTGTATCCAGCAGAATATAAGTAAACATTTACAGTCTTCCTTCCTTCCTTTTTTCTTTCTCTCCCTCTTCCTGTCCCTCTCCCTCTCCCTCTCTCTCTTTCTGGCTGTGTTGGGTCTTCACTGCTGTGTGCAGGCTTTCCCTAGTTGCGGCGAGTGGGGGCTACTCTTCGTTGCGGTGTGCAGGCTTCTCATTGCGGTGGCTTCTCTTGTTGCAGAGCATGGGCTCTAGGTGCATGGGCTCAGTAGTTGTGGCTTGCGGGTTCTAGAGCACAGGCTCAGTAGTTGTGGTGCATGGGCTTAGTTGCTCCACAGCCTGTGGGATCTTCCCAGACCAGGGCTCGAACCCGTGTACCCTGCATGGGCAGGCGGATTCTTAACCACTGTGCCACCAGCGAAGCCCCTACAGACTTTCAGTATCAACTCCAGAGGTTCAAACAGAAAGATGAGGTATGAACTTAGTAACTCACAAAAGTTACTAAAAAACACCTCACACTGTTTTCCTGAAAACTTAAGTCTTTTAATTCTCCTAGTTCTTTGATTTTTAATAGTATCATCATTCTACCAATTACCCAGTAGAAACCTCAGGCTTTTCTTTTTCTTGAAACATTTCTCACCCATGTCTCTCTATTCAGCTCATTTTGTATTTATATGATAATGGAGGCTCCTAACACAGCTTCCTTGACAACACTTCTTACATAGTCATCGGATTCATCTTCAAAAACAGTGACTTTGGGCTTCCCTGGTGGCACAGTGGTTGAGAGTACGCCTGCCGATGCAGGAGACACGGGTTCGTGCCCCGGTCCGGGAAGATCCCACATGCCGCGGAGCGGCTGGGCCCGTGAGCCATGGCCGCTGAGCCTGCGTGTCCGGAGCCTGTGCTCCGCAATGGGAGAGGCCACAAAAGTGAGAGGCCCACGTACCGCAAAAAAAAAAAAAAAACCAGTGACTTTGACCATTTCACTTTCTTGCGCAAAGACCTTCAGTAGTGTTCCCTGCCTAAAATTCAAATTCAAGACCCTCTAAGATCTAATTTCAAGTTAATTTTGATTGAATGCCTCCTACAGTAATTCTATGCACTCATCAAATGATAACAAGAACAAATCTAGTAAGTAACTTTCACAGTTTTAAATGCAAAATTTTACAGGTAGTGAAGCAAATAAAACAATTAAGAGAGTTACTCTTTCTATGAATGTTTTGAAGTATTATAAGCCCCCTTGCTGAGAAGCTGTGAAATCATAAGTATATCTTTGGGCAGAAAACTGATGTTAATTTAAAAACATGTGAAACACATTCTTTAGACCTAAAGGTACATTATTACAAATCCCTTCATTTTTACTGACAAAAGAAAGTAAAGTATATATAACATATACAGCCCAAGGATCCACCAAAAAAAACCTATTTGCTATAAAATTAAATTGAAACAAACGTCCAGAGTAAAACTAAACTCAGCTACTTACATCATAAATGCAGATTTGCTAGCTTACTTTTCTGTCATTCCCTATACAGAGCTAGGGACTCTAGTGCTGTCAAACTTTATTTCCCATCCCAAATGTAAACTTTCAGGGTTATCAAAGATTATGAAGTGTTCCAAACTGTTGAGAAGTCAAGCGTGGATAGCGTAAGAGATGATTCACATATCACTACCCCTTTAGATCTGAACTTGAACTCCCTCAAGGTTTCCATATAAAACTCATCTCTTTGCTTCTCAAAACTATGAAAAGTGGAATTTTAGGTTTTGAGATGGTCATCTTAATTCACTATCACTCTTCTGTTCAAGTTTAAAATAAATCTGAGTAAGAAATAAAAATGTTCTGACAGTTTCTAAACCTAAACACAGAGTTGTGTTTATATACTAGAAATGTTAACCTGAAAATGAAGAAATATGCACAGAAATGAAATGCAAATGATACATACATAGTCATTCACTAACACTGGAGATTCAGTATCAGGACTTCCAGCCAAAGAGCTTTCAGGAGTTTCCTGGGCAGATTTAACTTCTTTGACTCTAGGCACCAAGGTTTCAATTTCAGTTAAAGGTAAAGGCAAAGTGTTAGGCTGATTAGATGAATCGATGGTAGTAAGAGCGTCCTTTTGGACAGTGCTTTTTAAAGGTTGCTCATTTTCCAAGATATTGAGGTAACAGGGCTTCACAGGAGTGCTATCTTGGTCATCTGTCATCAAAAGAAAGTCTTAACATTAGTGTAATACAACTGTCATTAAATTTACTATTATACCAAATAAAGACTAAACTGTATAAATGAGAGTAATCAAGACATTTAAGACCCAAAAGAAAAGGCAACTAGAAATTATCCTTATCAATGGTTCCCAAATTTATTTGACCAGATTCATCTGGGGATGCTTTAAATATTAGATACCTGAAATGCACCTGATTTCTAAAGAAATAGGATTTTCAGGAGTAAGGCCCAGGAATGGGTATTTTTTAAAAATCCCCCACATTGGTATCTAAAGATACCTTGCTTACAAAATTTTTTTCTGTATTTAAATATTTGTCAACTATTCTTTAACAGCTGTTTGCAGAAACAAAGCCCTCATGTTTTCTACAAAGGATTTATGGAGGAAAAAAAAGACATACATCAGGTCCAAAACACCTCTGAACTTCTAATGGAAATTCAAAGAATTTAGATTTTTTTGTTTTTAGGCACATAAAGGGCACTTCAGATAATCTTAACATTGAAACTTATTTAGATTTCTTACCTTTACTAGTAGTGGGTTCTTGTTCTGATGGGACATTTTTGCTTTCTGCTGATTTTTCAAAATCATGCTGTGGAACCTGGAAGGAAAAAGTTGTCTTAATAGTAGGGCCTAAATATATGGTCACTATACAGGAGATGCTTGGTAAGTGTGGTATGTCCACCCTGAGACCTCAGACAGGGGAATTTTAAAACACCTCCTAAAAGTGTTTCAGGGAGGAGGCGGTAGTAGCTGCAGTTCCAAGGCAGCTCAGTACAAGGGCTCCTCTTCTTAGCCTCACAGTAACACAAGGAACTGAATGTTATGGACTCCACTAGTTTTCATTGTTTTTTTTCAGACCAGACTCTATCTTAAATGAAACTAAAAGACACCTGTTTATATGCAGAAGTTAAGTGAAAGGAAGAGGAAATGACGAGGAGGAAAGAAAGATGAACAGAGCTAAGTGCCTTCTGCAAGAGGACAGAAAACTGAAGACTCACCTCATAACTGGGTGTACCAGAGTCTAGGAAGGAAGGAGTACAGTAGTGGGGTGGGAGCTGGTGACAAGGGGATGGTGCTGGTGGTTGTTTGAAGCTGTTTAAGAAATATGTGGACGTTTAGATTCCCTCCCCCAGGCTCAACAGAAAATGGGAGATTATGTTTTGAAGAAAATGAACTAGTGAGCCTCAGACCAGGGGCCACCAGGGAAGGGGTAGGCTGCAGAAAGCACAAGTGAAGACAGGATAAAGTGTCACACTGAAACAGAAAGATCTAGTGCAAGTCTGTATAGAGGTGGGACCCTCAGCCCTAATCCTACGCCTAACTGCAGAACACCAACAGCCAAGGAGGCAGAAGGAGACTGGAGGACCCTCCCTACTTTGGAGAAACTAAACCACCCCAGAGAAAAGACCAATAGGAATTAACATTTGCGATTTTCTGTCAAAAAGCTATACACCGAGCTACCCTATGGTGAAGCCCAAAAGAACCCCAACTGGCTTTCTGATGTATTATTATTCTTTAATATAAGCACCAAAGGTACAGTGGATATTTAAAGAAAGCCTCTAGGTGGGTAAGAGAAAATATTGCTTCGATGAAGTAACAGGGTGCTATAAAAAAGTAACAGTCAGGAAAAAAGTACTTAGAAATTAAAAATACAACAGTTGAAATAAAAATAATTTCATATAGGTATTATGGTCAAAGAAATCTCCCAAAAAGTAAAAGAGAAAGAGCAATGAGACAATAAAAAAGAGGAGAAAATTAGATCAACCCATGAGAGCTAGTAGTAACGTTTGATAACATTTATTCCAGAAGAAAAGAAGAGCAAATGGTAAGGAAGAAATAAAGGAAATAAAAGAAAATTGACCGAACCTGAAGAACATGCTATATTGAAAAGACAACTGAATACCTAGTGTAGTGAATGAAAAAAGACCTGCAATGACGTATATCACTGTAAAGTTTCAAAACTCGGAGGGGGGGGGGGGGGGGGGAGTGGAGGGAAAGCTTCTAGAGCTAGAAAGAAGAAAAGATATACACAAAGAATCGGAATAAAGAAAGGCATTGGCAACACTGAAAACTAGAAGACAAGGAAACAGTGCCTTCAAAGACCTGAGGGAAAATGATTTTCAACACTGAAGCATTAAGTTTTCTTAGACAATATAAAGTCTCAAAATATTCTTTGCATTCTTTCTTAGAGAGCTACTGGAAGATGTGCTCCACAAAAATGAGGTAATAAACCAAGGAAGAGAAAGGCAAGATTTGATTCCAGAAACTGAGATCTAATAGAGAACAACAAAGGGCATTCCCAGGCTGGTAGCTATTTAAAGGGCTAAAGAAGAGCCAAACCCAGAAGGGAGCAGGAAAGGAGAATGCTCCAGGAAGGACAAAACTGACTAATTGATTCATGTAGAAAATTCTACTGAGAGGTTTATAAAACTACTGATGGGCATAGCAAAGACTTGGGTTTGTGATGAAAGAAAAGAGAGTAAATAAAAATATTGAGACAATTATTAAATTCAGGTGAAAAAATATATAAGACTTAGCGATAAATAATATTTGCTTAGCTCAACAGTCAGTAATATTTACATAGTTTGGTTAAATCTAAATATTTGTTTAAATACAGATTTAACCAAAAGGTATAATTAAATGAGGTGGACAGGATTAATATAATTAAATGAGGAGCCATAAGTGACCTAAAAATCTTCACCTGCTATAATAGAAGTCAGTAGGTAATGCCTAATACATAAATGAATAAATACACACACATATTATTCAGATGTAAGGAGGTAAACAGCAGAAGAAATCATACAAAATTTTGCCTCTGGGGCAGGATGAAGTGAAGGTAAGAAAGGGAATGATTTTATTTTGTTACATACCACTTCCACGTATAACTAGAAAAAATAAAACTTAAAAATCCAGATCTTCTGAAGTAATCACATAGTTTTTTAGGACTTGTTATCAAAAAAACATTTTTTTTGACGTGCTTTAAATATAAACATTGCTAAATACAAAAATAATAATAGTGTTTAGGATTTCAATAAGAATATTAAAGTAGTTTGTATTCATGAAAATGAGAATGGTGAAGTTGTAAATTTTAACATCTGTAAAAAGAATCAGCTTTTCAGTAGTTACAGTAAGACTGGTGGAGGGTGTGTTAGTCTGCACTGGAATACCTGATCATCGTGTTCATTTTCTTCTGTAGTTTCAGTGTTAGCCTGCAGTGAAGTCTGGACATCTACAGGTCCCTCTTCAAATTCTTCTATTTCTTCATCTTCATTCTCATCTTCTCCACTTCCATAATTAGTCAAAGCCTGAGTTTCAGCTTTGGACAAATCTAAGTTGAGTAATAACACAATTTTTAGTAAAATTTCAGCACTTAAATCTTAATAATAGCTACCATTTATTGCATTCCTGCATTGCTCAAGTGCTTTACATACAGTATCTGAAATCTTCAAAACAGTAAGCACTAGAAAACTGTGGTGTAGAAAGGACAGGTAATTTAGTCAGGGTCACACGGAAATTCAAATTCAGAGTTGTTTGACACCTAATTCTATAATCATTCCACTCCACCAAACTGTTTCAATAAGCGATCTGTAAAGAACTTATGTATAAACCTAGTCTAGAGCCTTCAGACTTACTAATAGACACTGGACATTCTTCACTTTCTTCATCTTCCTCTTGATCAGAGACATCAGAGCTCACATTTTTGGGACCATCACCATCATAAACCTCAGATGTTTGAGTCTGTTTAACTGTTTCAGTCTCATCCTTGTCCTAGCACAAATAAATTTGAGTAATTAATTCCTTAAAGTACATTTTTAAAAGGTATATAGTACGTCTACCATAAAAATTAATAATAATTATCTAATAAAAATATAAAGAATCATTTTAAATTTAGTTGTTTTTAAAAGAAAATAAAAGTTTGTCAGAAGAAAGGATATTTTATGATATACTTTGCTCTCAAACATTAAGGTAAAAACTACTTAAATTATTTAATCTTTTGTTTCAAAAGAATTATTAGCACATACTTTGTCTTCATCATCAATTTCTCCAGCAGGTGAGCCATGATCTCCTTCAAGAATCCTTTTGGCCTATAAGCAAATCAATTAAGCAGAACTTAGGGGTAACCATTCATCATTACACTTAAGTACTCAGTAAACCTTAACAAATGCTGCACTTTTTAACCATCATCCAAAGAGTTGAGTGTTTTCTTAGAAATGTAAATTCAACTTTCATTTAAATCTTTTAAACGAACAAAACAAAAAGCAACATTGTCTACCAGACATCTCCTTGGATGTGTAAGAAATATCATGAACTTACTAAATCCAAAACAAAAATTTTGATTCCTTTCCTTCCCCCATCTTCCTTCAGTCTTCCCAATCTCAGTAAATGGCCCTTCATCCACCCAAATGCACAAGCCAGAAAACTAGGAACCAGCCTGTACTTTACTTTTATTATCCACACTGAAACTATCAGAATGCATTATTGACTCAATCATCCAAAGGTATCTGTTGTTACACACTCAAAGATAAGACACATAATTTCTTACCTGGACTATTGCAACAGCCTTACAACTGGTCTCTCTGCTTCCATCTCTACTCTTCCACAATTCCAAATCAGTATCATATCCAGACAAATCTTAAACTGAGATTATGTCACTCCTCTATTCCAAACTTTCCCATGAGTTTCCATCATGCTTACAACAAAATAAAATGTAAGGTCCCTACCACAGTTTCTAAGGTTCCATAACTTGGTCCTACCTACCTCTGTGTACCTCATCTCCTACATGCTCGTCTCATTTAAAGTGTTCCTGCCTCCCTGGCCTTCTCTCTGTTCTCCAAAACACTCAATCCTGCCTTAAGAGTCTTTCTTTACACTTAACAGTTCTCTCTGCCTGGAATGCTCTTCCCTTTCATCTTCATTATAAACTCCTCTTGTCCCTCCATGGCTTACCTCACTTTTCATCCCCTGAAGGAGCCTCATGATTCCGCCATCTAAAGCAACCCTTCCTATCATTTTTTTATAGTATCATCCTCTTTTATTTTTTTCAAGCTCTAAGCAATGACTGAAATGATGTGAAACTTATTTATGTCTACAATAAAAACATTATGAAAAGTGTGAAAAAGATGGCTTGACTTTATCCACTTTAGGTTTCAGGAAGAAGGGTTATCTGTTTCTGTTTTGGGTCTTGACCTGCCTTCCCTCTCATGATAAGAGTCAAGAAAAGGGTGCTTGTCTAGGGAAAAAGCCTCCTGGTATGCCTTAAGTTGAGGGGAAAAAAACATCCAATTTCATATGTGATCAAGACTAATTTAACAGGGTATAAGCAGCTACAGGGATATACAACCAAAGTACTAACTAATAACAAGCATAATTGTTGGCTGCGGTGATAAATACTCCTGGGGCATCTACTGGGATTGGCAATAACTACTGCAGACAGCTGGCCAAGGACCGGATCCCAGCCCTCCTCTCTCTTCTGGAAACCTGCGTAAGTGGCAATAGCATGAAGTGGCTACCTGATAATTCCTGCCACCCGTTCCTGCCTGCATTCCTGATTAACTCATATTACTAAAAAACCTACTTTTGCTGACGTCAAGTATGATTTTAGTTACTCATAATGATCAAGAACGATATTTATATGCTAATTATAACTACTCCTAAAATCAAAATGCATGTAATTTACCTCTTTTGCGTAAGACTGTATCACTCCAGCTGCTTCTATTTTCCTTTTGCATCTCTGTTTAACAGTTATACTATTATTATCCAAATCTTGCATGAGTTTAAAGAAAGCCAATTCATTAAATAACACTTCAGATATCTCTACAAGAAGATCTTCTCCACAATCTTTCAGTTTTCTGCCAGCAAATTTTGCCAATGAATCCTGTTCAAAGATAAACCAAATAGCTTTAAAGATTACAGTAAACTTCAATTGTGGGTAAAGCAATACAAATAATTAACAAGTTTAAATTATAATACTCACCAATGAAAAAACAATATTATTACTTTTTAGTATTGAAAAACTTAAAACTAATGGCTAAGACAGGCTAAGAAAAGATATATTAATATTACTAAAAACATGACTAAGTGGGAATATTGCTAGTTCTGCTTACAGAGTATACAAAAGAACATATGGTCATCTATAGCTTTAGTCCCTATGTAATATAACTGCCAGCCACAAATATATAAGATAAGGGATTCCTAATCTCAGAAGAGGTCCCACACAGTACCAGAGGATATACATATAAACCACAGTGAAAAGCTGAAGTGCCATGAGAGAAGAAAATACCATTAGAATACTTTTCAAGTTTTCCCCTTTATGTAAGGCAGCCAATCATTCTAATTTAAATTTTCTCTTCAAAATCAGTCTAGGACTTCCCTGGTGGGGCAGTGGTTGAGAGTCCGCCTGCCGATGCAGGGGACACGGGTTCATGCCCCGGTCCGGGAAGATCCCACATGCCGCGGAGCGGCTGGGCCCGTGAGCCATGGCTGCTGAGCCTGCGTGTCCGGAGCCTGTGCTGCGCAGCGGGAGAGGCCACAACAGTAAGAGGCCCGCGTACCGCAAAAAAAAAAAAAAAAAAAAAATCAGTCTGAAAGTAAACTTTAGTTCTATTTAAGCTGAAATATAGCATCATCAAGTGAACAAGTCTGCTATATTCTACAGTTTTTACAAAACCACTTTTATTTTTCTTTCTTCCTAAAAATATGGACTATGCTATTTAGAAAACAGGCAAACAACTATAATGCTCAGTGCCCCCTCCCTCCCAAAAAACTACCTTATCTAGCACAGTGATGGAGAGAAGTACAAACCCTGGGTCCTTCATGAAAAAAAATTCACTGAATAGGTTTTGTAAGAGAAAAAGTAGAAGACAGTAATTTAATCTCTACCTCAAGAAGAATTTTCAACTCTGGGCAAGATTTAATGTAAACTAACTTTTATTCTTCATGTAGGTCTCCTTGCAAAAAAAATTAGGAATACGAAGAAAAGCAGTCAGATTTTCTTAGACTTAGGAAAAAAAACCTTGCGTGCAAATTAATATATGGAATCTTCCCACAATTATAACAGTAGACAAAACTGAGGAAGGGCTACATGGATCCTGATCAACAAAAACATTTAAAGGATCAACAGTTTTTCTTTCAACCTGACTCTAAAATGGAGTTTTTTCTTTCTGTAGGAATAAGTTACCTAGTTAAATTTATAAAAATGCATTTACCTAAAAATTATCCTAAACATTTTTAAACAATGCGTAACACCACAGATGTCTTACATTCCTTATGTGTTAGTACAACTAGATTAAATAGAGCCAGGACACTTTAGGATCTATTACTATAGATTTATATATATAGATTTATATAGATTATTATAGATTTCCTGAAATTTATACTTCAGTCTTATTAAAAACAAAATGAAAAATTGTAGTGATGGAAAAGCACATCAACCTAGGGTTTTTAAAAATTTGATGGACAAAGTGAAAATACTATCTCTAAAACCAATTTAAATTAAACACAGAATAGGAAGCAAGGAAAAATTTTACAGGAAAATTCTGTAATACAGATGAAAAGAAAAACATATTTTCTAGTTTGGAACAATAATACACATCACTGAACTATCTCAATGGGAAAACATACCGGTGAATTTAACTGTCAAGATGTTTATTATATGGAGTAATTACGGTATCCCTACTCATTAACACAGGGGTTCTCATCCTTGGCACTGTTAACATTCCACAAGGTGCTACTACCAGCCCCTCCCTGCCTGTTGGTCTGAGGACACTGCTAAATGTCTCCTGGGAGGCAAAATTGCCCGCAGTTACGAACCACTAACCGTCGCATAATTTAAAGTTACTGTTACAGCCTAAGAAGTCTCTACAATCAAAAGCTAGCTTCAGGCTTCTACAATTTCCCAGATTGGTAAAAAAAATTATTTTAGAAAATATAATGGAATACTTTTTAAACAATTCAAACTTGAAATGCTCTTACTGGGTAGGAGAAAAATCAAAACAAAATTTTATTAGAGTTGGGACAGGCCTTAGAGATGATAAAGTTAAATGAAGACACAGGCCCTAATCCAACTTTTTTTAACTAAGTAAGCAATAACCTAAGAAGTATTAAAACGTCATCCCAAATGGATGCTAGAATGAATATCTACTTGAATAAACTGTGTAATGCCAGAAAATGGCAGAAAAAAAAAATCCTAACTGCATGGTACTTATTGAAGTCATACAAGTACAAGCTCTTACCTGTAGTATACTTCCAAGTTGTTTATGAAAGAACTTTACAAACTCTTTGCTCTCATCGTTTTGCTGGGTAAGAGTCAAAACCATGCGTCTTACTGAGGTTAGAAGTTGAGAAGAGCATACTTCATCCATGTGCTCCTGAGAAAAGTCCTAGTTGGTTAGGATATAACTTATCTTGCTTAAAAAAAATATTAATCCACGTAATGACATTGTATTTTTTTTTTTTTTTGCATAAGCTCTTCAGCTTTTAGATGCACACTTGGAAACTTCGTTCATAAGAATAGCCAAACTCCCCCCTACACACATTAAAAGGTTTGCAAATTTTGATTCACTATAGCAGATAACAGCTAGTAAAAGAAACTGGCTGATTCAACATTTTCCATCACTTCCTTTCTGTACTTTAAGGAACTACTCATGCCGTGGTTTCCATATTGCTTGTATTCCTATTTGCAGTTCAGTTCATTTCAACTACTCTCACAACCACACTTCACCTTCCACCCAACTTCCTCTGCGTTATCTTCTAACTTTTCTAAGCCTTGGCACTGCTGACATCCTGTGCATTGTAGGATATTTAGCAGCCCTCTGGCCTCTACCCACTAGAAGCTCATGGCACCCTCCACTCTCCCAAGTTCTGACAACTAAAAAACATACCCAGACATCACAAAATGTTATTAGGGTCAAAATCACAGCCAGTTGAGAACTACTGTCCTTTCTTAACAAGCCCCTTTGGGCAACTCTCTTCATCACCTTAATCTTCCTTTAGAAGCATGTGCAATCTACATAATAATCCAAACCAGAGTTAACTTTCTGAGGTGAGTCCATAAAACATCCTTATCAAGAAACCTCAAGGTTCTGATCCTCTTTCTGCCACTAAACTCATTTGGGCAGGTCCTCTAACCTTGACTCAGGTTAAGTTTGTGGGGTTTTCTCCCTTCCATTAAATGTGTGGCCAAAGGTGGCCAAACGAGACGATGTCTAAGATCCCTTAAATCTAAGGATTGAAGCTCATTTTTTAAAAATTCATGTGTCAAGGCAGGCAATTAAAAAAAAAAGACAACATGGGCTTCCCTGGTGGCGCAGTGGTTAAGAGTCCGCCTGCCAATGCAGGGGATACGGGTTCGTGCCCCGGTCCGGGAAGATCCCGCATGCCGCGGAGCGGCTGGGCCCGTGAGCCATGGCCGCTGGGCCTGCGCGTCCGGAGCCTGTGCTCTGCAACGGGAGAGGCCACAACAGTGAGAGGCCCGCGTACAGCAAAAAAAAAAAAAAAAAAAAAAAAAAAAAGACAACAGTCCCTGTCTTCAAGGAATCAAATACCAGTGGAGGAGTCGGATCATGAGCACATCAATCACTACAAGCTATGCACTGTCCACTAGGTGATACTTTTAAACTGCAGGGACTGTTTCTTACTCATCACCTAGCACAGTTGCTAGCTCACAGGAGATACTCATTACTTGCTGAATAATTAAGGATCATAAAAGAAGCACACACTAGGTGCCCTAAGGAGCTATGGTAGCATATCAGAGCTCTGAAGAAAGGTCAGTCAGGCAGAAAAGAGTGACAGCATTTTATATTTTCAATGATGACTAGTTGCACAAAGGGCTGATATATGAAAAAGAAATGGCAGGTATAGGAAATGTTCAGTAGTTTGAAATGAGTATTTATCTAGATGGAGAGTAGTGAGAGATAAAGCTGGGAAACTAAACCATATGCAGTGGTGAAATCTCTCGACTTCAAAGATATGAATTAAGGTTATGCTATTGGAGAGAAAGAAGTAAAACTAACTGCTCTCAGGGGCAAAATCAATTTTTTTAAAACATCAATTTTTGACTCACAGGTGATAGAGGGTAAGAGAAAGTTAGGAAGTCTAGCTTAGGTGACTGGGTGTAAGGCTGACACTAACAAAGAAGTTCTATAATCTTACCCAAAAAGTCAAGATTTGAAGTGAAATGAGACATCATAAAATAGTTAAAATCAGACCATTAGTCCTACTCATTTTGTTGGCCTCAGAAATTGTCTGAAATGCTAAATTTAGTAGGGGATCCTTATGAAAGGATATAACTTAATCAGACACAAAATTGTAAATGCAATAAAATTTCCTGAGATGGTCGCATTCCCTACA